TTATTTTAGGCTGGGTTCGGAAAAGCTTCCTATAAGGGCAAGCCCCTATAATTAATTACATCTTAAATGATCGAAATTACCTAAGAAAACTTTCGATAAAAATCAGGGAATACTATCTTCAAAGAAGTTAAAAGGATAGAACTCAACGAAATCAGACAACAAAGATGTGTGAAAGGGGAAATGCTCGAACCTGGAACAATGTTGAAGAATCCAAATGAAGAGAAACTAGGGGAGGTCATAGATCCTGAGGCGAGCTTCGGTGGCTTCCCAGTCTATCCTATGGTTTGGCTTCAGTTTCGAGAAGAAATTATTAAAGTGTTTCATCTTGCCAATTTTATTTAATTAGTGTTTATATTTACGTGACATAGTCACACAAATCGCCTGAAAGATATGAGAGTTTACGTCGTATCGGACGACAACCTCAGAAGCTAGAACGAGTTAGGGCTTAAATTGCACAGTGTGACTTTGCAAAGGCCTAACAAGGCCTAACAGATAAAGTCCTAACAGATAAAGTGAGGATTTATGTTGCGCCAGACAAACAACCTCGAAATCCTATGACTTGTTGTTTAATTTCAAGGAAATGAATGGTTTTGCTGGGGAAAATATGTTCTGCTGTTGAACATGGCCGTGCTGCCCACCGCGCTAGCTCCAAGCTCACCGACGTATCGAGTTTAAGTTTTCTAGGATGTCCAGTTATAGTGTCAAATCAAACGGCCTTATGGTTGTAGTCCTCTAAATGTCCTATATAAAAAAAGGGAGGCATGCTTAAAGCTATATAATATGAAATGTGCAATACAGGAACAAACAGTCGAATGCATGTGAAACAGTAACAGGTAGAAACAGGAATGGTATAACATGCTATACAGGAAGAACAATAGTAGTAGAAACATGAATAATATAACATGTTGTACGGTACGGTAGCAGGTAGGAACAAAAATGGTATAACATGCTGTACAGGAAGAGTAGTAGCAGGTAGAAAACATGAATAATATGACATGCTATACAGTACAGTAGCAGGTAGGAACAGAAAAATAAAGTACTGTAAAATGTAAAACAAACCTGTACGCCCGTGAGATCCGATGTTCCTTAAGTATAGCAAACCTAAATGCATCTCAAAAGCAAAGTTCGGAAGAAAACGTCATCCAAGAAATCCGAAAAAGAATGTAACAACGACTCATGACAGAAAACTCGAGAGAATCAACGAAAAAGACTCAAGTAAAATAAAATCCTAAAAAAAAATCCTTGGGAAGTTCCGAAAGAAAGGAAAAGTAACACGAGTGCCCTGTCTCAAAGCTTCGATAAAATAAAAAAAGATTCGGATGAGGGGCACCGCAAGCACTCGTATGGGACTAGGCTTAGCTGTATATTTATTCTCGAGGGTTCACGAAAGCTACTCGGTTACCCGAATGTATAGAACCCGCCTCTCGTCTAGAAGGGTGTCTTGAACCTCACTTAGAGGGCTATTTCTCAGCCTAAACGGGTATTCGTCAGGTGGACAACCAACTTTAAAGTATATTTTTTGTTTTTTTAACATGCATACAAATTTTAAACATGCGAAAAAGAGTTATCAATTTTGTTTCGTAGAAAAGTAT